TGCAAATAAATTATTATTACAATACAAAAATATATTTTTTGATTTCTGTAATTAAAAATGTTATTTTTCTACCTGTAATAAAATTGGAGAGCCGCGAAAAGGTGCTTTTGGGTTCCTTTTCAATTCATCAAGACTAATCATAGTCTCTCCAACTATCAATGGCATTGGATTTCTCCCTGATTCAATTTGTTCTAGTACGGTGGTTATAATCGATTTGCCTTCATTATTTTTACCACTACTAAGTAAAAATTGATTAAGCATGCAAAATAAGAAAGCCCTTCTTCTATATATATGAAAAGACTCAGAAAGAGGTTTATCAAAATAATGGCGTGCAAATTCTTTCAAATTAACTATGTTTCCATCTACTATTTTTGATAAATCCCTTTCTTTTAAATTAAAGAAGCGCTCAAAATCCTTGTAATAATATGCATCTACTCTAGGGATTACTATGAGGTCTATTGCAGGGAAACCTAAAATAGCACCAAATTCTTCTGGCAAAGGGCTAATCTCATCATACCCTATTCTAAAACAATGAGTATCGACATTCCAAAATTCTAGAGCGGTATGAATGAAATCTATGTCAAGATCTACCCCTTTTATGCCATAAATTCCCCCCAAGTGAAACAAATCTAATTCTTTTCTGTCTCTAGCATTAAGAGATCGACACCATTCATGGGTGTATTGAGTGAAAGTTTTGGTGACTAGAGACATGATATTATTTTTCTAAGGCCAAGAACTATTTTATTTGCTGCAATTATGAAAAGAATCGGCTGGGCAGGGGGCTATTTATACACACAATACGAGCAGTTTTAATCAGGATGAAATACGGAGACAACGCCAATTGGCGTCAGACTCCGCGATTGGCGCCAGACACCAAAGCTTGGCGCCACACGCCAAGTGTAGCGCCTGGCGCTACACCGAATTGCGTGGCGCCAGCTGGCGCCAATTTTCCACGTCATGCGCGCTTTCTTAAATCGTGTTTTTACCTTAAATTCAAGTCGACTAATGACTTTACGACCCCGATTATCTTTTCTAAACATCTTTTTATTCTACTTTTAATTAATATAGCTATTATATTAATTATATTATTCCTTTTTGGATTTTATTTAGGTTAATTTTCAAGTTTTTATAAACCCAACATTTTATTTGTCTTTTCCTTTTTTTTCATTTTTTCTTTTGGGGGAGAGAGTCGGATACCCTCCATGAATAATAAAAATGACGGAATTTTTGCGCAAAATTGTTTGTCACACTTTTTCTTGCACACACAAACATGCACATAATAATAGCAAACAAAATAAACTCATAATAGTATGTATATATAAAATATGTCTAAAAATGAGTTTTAACTAAAAGGCAAAGTTCTATACAAAGTCAAATAATAAAAAGCACAGGTACAAATCACCTCGCGCAAGAGATGACAAAGAAATAAGTCAGTAAACATGCATAATATATGTGGACAAAATTTGCAAATAAATAAGCTTACTCGAGTCTAGTAGCTAGGAATCGACCGCTTTACGAAGCGCGACCGGAAGAATCATCTCCTCAATCGGCCCATATGTCCCCTGGTAATGAATAGACTACGGGGTAGCACGAACTCAACATCATCGTCCTGATAAAGCAAAACCAAGTCTGTGAAGCATTACTTGGGGGCTACTTAAAGAATAAGAGCTGAAAAGGCGTACCGCCACATTCTCAGCCGGTACAGGAACTGGAGCTAACAACGGCAGTAGCTCCTCTACACAGCATCGACCAGGGATCGTGCAAGATCACCAAGGGGAACTAGTTCCCTCTGACATGCTCAAACAACTTCGCGGCACCTGGATACTTAGCCACTCGGTGAGGTTTTTCTACCTATTTGGTTTCCTTGGTACGCCAATTAGCCCCTCTAAGAAATTTGACATGATTTTTAGTAATCGGCTTGATTACGTAAAGTGATCGACCTGATGAAAAATCGTCCCACTTAGCTTAAAGCGCCTAAGAATTGGCTCATTGACAAAAGGCACCGACATAGTGGTTCATTCGCAAAAGGCACCGACATGCTGGTTCATTCGCAAAAAGGGCACTGACGTACAGGTTCAAAGCAATGGAAGCGCCGACGTACAGGCATAGCAGGAGCAAAGTTCAGGCGATCTTTTAAAGATCGACGAGCGGAGATCCTCGGTAATTTTCCAAGGGTAATTTCCTTTGGAAAATTAGCATCAAATGAGGATGGCTTCAAGCGACGATATCTTCGACGACATTCCCTGGCTTGTGGAGAGTTGTCACAAACAACTGAAGGTAATTTCAAGTGAAGTTGCCCTCGACCATATTCCCTTAGACGTGGAAGAAATGCGGAAGGAGTTTGTTTTAAGAGAAATAATCTCCGACAGTATTCCCTTGGACGCGGAATATTATCAATGCGGATGGGGATTGTTTCGAGAGAAATAATCTTCGATAGTATTCCCTTGGACGTGGAATATTATCAATGCGGATGAAGATTGTTTCAGGAGAGATAATATTCGATAGTATTTCCTTGGACGTGGAATATTATCAATACGGATGAGGATTGTTTCGAGAGAAATAATCTTCGATGGTATTCCCTTGGACGTGGAATACTATCATAGCGGAGAAGGATTGTTTCAGGCGAAGCAATCTTCTAATTTGGAGGCGGTTACAAGCGTAGCGGTTTTCAAGCGGAATGGCATTCTCTAGCTTGTAGGAGGTCATCAAAACAGTAATACAACAACAATCGGTTACTTTCAGAGACGTGTGCTCGACGGTGCAAGATACGCGTTTCTTAACACTTTTATCTGTTTAACTAACGCTAGTTTGCAGGTATCGGCGTTAAAAGAGTGATTTAGGATCGCAGAACGTTCTGAATCATTCTCCGTCCCTATCGATACTTTGACTTTTGTTTTCGAAACTCGCGTTTCTCCAAACTCAGTCAAAGTGGAGGCTTCTGTAGACACCCATTTGTGTCTCCCCAAAACCAAACCCAGTGATGAGTACCTTTCGCGTCGAATCATAATCGAATGAAGTGAAAGTGTGGAAAGTCTAGTGTTACGGATAGTTTTAATTTCTTTTATCTTCTCTCTGTTTTTGAAAACTTATTTTAAGAAAACAACCAATCCAGTTTGGTTGGTCCCTGATATGGGTCCAATAGTAGTGTAGTTGGATGGGTCTTGACAAGAACTTTCCAATGATAAGCCCAATTCCGATGAATATTGAGGAAGTTATGGCCAATTTACTAAACTGGGCCCGTTTTGAGCCTTATATACGACCCAATGATCTAGAGGAGGGTCTAATATAGATTTATCATTCCTAATGCAATTAGGAATAGTTTTAGTCTTCTAGATTCTTCTAGAAGGTTCTTTTCATTCCTAATTCAATTAGCATTGATAAATTGACTTTTGTTGACTTTTCAGAGTTTTAATTAAAATCAAAGAGCATTTTTGAGGAAAAAATACGATTTTATCCTCCTGTACGACAGAATTTATCTGATTTGAGAAAACGCGTCAAAAACAGGGAGCGCCAAACGCCAGACATTGGCGCCTGGCGCTAATCATTGGCGCCTGGCGCCAATAGCTGGCGTTGGCGCCGGCTCTGTTTTAGGTGCGCCAATGCTCTGTTTTGATATTTTATCTTTTTGGCTGATTTTTCTATAAATAACGTCTTAAAAACTCCGTTTTGAAGGACCAGTTTTCAAATATAATCATCTAAAAACTCCGTTTTCATTCACCAAATTCCGTTTTCATTCACCTACAACTAGTTTTCAATTCTCTCATTCTCTTAATCATTCACCATCTCTCTCTCTCTTTCTCTTTTCTAAACTAGTCTTTTATATACAAAATTCCGCATTCACAAGATTCAGAAACACCTAGCCATATTCGAAGTTGCCTTCGCCCTAGACGTGAAAGGTTTAATTTCTGAGGGTTTGGTCCCAAATCTCTATTTCCATTATTTAATTTAATTGTTTGTTTATTATTTTCCTTAAAGTTACTAACGTGTGTATTTTGTTATTAGAAAGAGGTACGAGGCATCAAAGTAAGTGCTTCAATGGTTTTTAATTGATATTATGATGTAGAAATCATGTTTAATTTGTTATTATGATATTCCTAGTATCATGTTTAGGGAAAAGGTTATAATATCAAATATGCTTATTATAATTCCTGCGATGTCTTTTATTCTCTTCCTAATATTTATGATTGTTAGTATCATGTTAGGGTTAAAGATTTGATTTTTATTGCTTAGTGACATGCTAGGGTTTGTTATTAATCTTGTTAGTATCATGCATAGGATCTTGCTATTTTTATTATGGTTTAACATGATTTATGATTGTTTTGATTGTGATTATAATTTTATTATTGCTATAATTGTTATTATAATTATTATAATTACATGATTATTATTATGATTATAATGATTATTATTTTGATTATTGTTATGATGATTATTTTATTTATGATGATTATTTATTATTATTGTTGCTTGATATTTATATTTATTGCTTGATCACGCCTTTTATGCATGTTTAAAGGGAATTTGGTACTTGTAATCACGCTTAATAAGATAATTGATAATCTTGTTAGGGTTAATATGATTATAATTTCAAGTGATCGCCAATAATAGTTTATTTGTGCATTAATTTTCAACCAACATAGATAAACAGGTTTAGGGTAAATTTATTGATTGCATGTTAGCCAGAAAGCGCACATGAATACGATCAGAATAAAGTAGAGTCCTATTATTAGGACAGGTTCAATCTCTTTTAGGTTGAATTTGTGCCTTCATCCCCGAACCCTATTTGGTTCAAGACCTTATGGAGTTGACGATCTCTTGGATCGTTAAGGGGTGTAACCTTCATCCTGTGAACGGTTTACAAGTTCCTAAAACTTGTTGGCGACTCTTTTGCTCTATCTTCTTATCTTTTGGACGCTACCGTACTTTAGTGTATGATCACAGTGGGGTTCAAGCTAGGGATTAACGCTTGAAAATATTCCCTACACAACCAAACTTGAGACCTTCACAAAAACATCTTCCACTGCAACAATTCTTTTCTCAAAAAGGAAAGAATTTCTTTTAAGACAAATGCCCCATAGGATGCACCAGAATAAGTCCCACCAAGCTTTCTCTTTGAATTTTGAAGACAGGAAAGAAAGCCAGCATTGAAGAGAAGTCATACCAGAATCAGGACACTCCAAGCGCAGCGGGGAAGCATACCAGATCAAACGAGCCTCCTTGCATAGAAAGATAGCATGTAGTAAAGTTTCGGGACTGTCACCACAGCAAGGACATGTTTCATCAACACTCATACCACGTTTAAACAGGGCAGACCTAACAGCAATGTTATTATGCATTACTCTCCAACCAAACAACTTAATTTTTGGGGGGATTTTCGCATTCCAAAGGGAGTTCCAAAGCACAGAACAGGGGGGGGAGAAAAACCAGAAGCATTCTCTCTGTTATTTTCTTTCAATTCAACATGGTAAGCACTCCTTACGGAGAACTCACCATTCTTTGTATAGTGCCAAGCCCATACATCTTCACCTCCAATACGAACAAGCGGGATTTTGAGTATTTCATCAACTTCCCACTCAATAAAGTGAGTTTTCAGAGTATCCACCAACCACTCACCATCATATATAAGCTCACTCACCAGACTAGGTTTGTTGTCCAATCTGGGGTTGCACGTTGAGAGGTTTAAAAGCAGCGAGAGTGGGGATCCAGGGGTCATTCCACACATTAGTACCATGGAAATTTCCCACAATTCTTCTGGCACCTATATATTTTGACAAGATCTCTAGCAAACAAAATCGATCTCCAAGTGTAACTTGAGTTGGAACTTAATTTTGTAGTGAAGAAGTCACCTTTAGGGAAGTACTTTTGTCTCATAATTTTCTCCATTAAAGAGGGATTGTTGTTCACAATCCGCTAGGCCTATTTGGAAAGCATAGCTTCATTAAAAGCTTGTAAATTCCTCATCCCAAATCTCCTTCCTTTTTTGGCAGATAAGTCTTCTCCCATGCGACCCACGCCAACTTGCGCTCCTCCTTTTGTTGTCCCCAAAAGAAATTTTGGCGAAGGCGCTCAATTTCATTTAAAATTCTCACCGGAATCTTGATGCATTGCATTGCATATGTGGGAATAGCCTGTGCGACAACTTTGATTAAAATTTCCCTCCTCGCTTGAGACCAAAATCCTTTTTTCCACCCTTTCAATTTTTTCCAAACCCAACCTTGAATGATAGAAAAGACCCGTTTCTTAGAGCTACCTAGATAAGTTGGAAGCCCAAGATATTTATTGTGACTCTCAAAGGCCTTAAAAGATAACTTTGATTGAAGGATATTTTTCTTTTTTGGCTCAATGTTTTGGCTGAAAGAGACTTCGGACTTATCCATATTCAATTTCGGGCTTGACACAATTTCATAGGTGGAGAGAATGTCCAACACATTATCAACTTCTTCCTCGTTGTCTTTAACAAAAAGAAGGCTGTCATCCACGAAGAAAAGATGAGATATAGGGTCCACATGCTTCCCAATTTTGATGCCATGAATCTGACTTTTGCTCTCGACATCTCTCAAAAGAGTCGATAACCCCTCGGCACATAAGATGAAAAAAGGGGGAAAGCAGATCCCCTTATCGAAGGCCTCTAGAAGGAAGGAAACCCCAAGAAGGTTGGCCATTGACAAGTATAGAGAAAGAAGCAGTCTTCACACAAGCCATAATAGAGCCCACAAAAGAAGCAAGAAAGCCCAATTTGTCCATCATATTCTCAAGAAAAACCCACTCGACTCTATCGTACGCCTTGCTAATATCCAGTTTCAAACCCAAATAGTCTTTCTTCCTAGAATTCTTTTTCCTCAAGTAATGAAAACGTTCATAGGCCACAAGAATATTATCAGTTATAAGCCTTCCAGGAACGAAACCACTCTGCGACTCATGAATAATGTTAGGAAGAACTTTTTTGAGTCTATTTGCAAGGAACTTGGACACAATCTTTTAGAGAACATTACACAAGCTAATTAGTCTAAAATCTACAGGAGACTCACAAAATTTCTTTTCGGGATAAGGGCGATGTAAGTCTGATTTATAGAACTAATTTCTTCACCATTATTCAGAATTTTCAACACACGATTAATCACATCACATCCAACAATATTCCAGAATTTTTGGTAAATGATTGCGCACATACCATCGAGGCCCGGGGCTTTCATAGGATGCGTAAATTTGATAGCTTCAACGACTTCATCACTTCATAAAGGGGCATTTATCATATTTGTCATAGGCTCCAAGAGGATGGGGAAACTTTGTTAATGACAGGGGCAGTCTCCACCGCATTAGTAGTCCCAAAGAGGTTCTCAAAGTTGCGCACCAACACTTCTGTAATTTAGTCCTCATCCTCATTAAGGATGCCCGCTTCATACTTTCTTTTAGTGTGAAATTTTTTTGGTGTTTTTATCTCCACCTTTTAGCCAATCTTGCCTGCTTCTTTGACGCCAATACCTCTCTTCCCTCTCCTCAAACTCATCCATCCTCTCATCAAGCGCACGCATGTGATTAATTATTTCTTGCGTTTTATCAAGCTCCATAAGTCTTTCCATTTGATGCTTGCACTCGCTTAACTCCTTCCCCGCATTGCCAAAAGTATTTTTGCTCCAAGATTTCAGATTTTTTGCTGTACGAGCAATGTTGGCAGTGATGCTCGCACCTTCTACCCATCTTTTCCCAATAATATCAGTGCAACCCTCATCCCTTAACCACATCTCTTCGAATCTAAACAATTTTCTCTATTTTTTCTTTTTTGTTGCGTGGCCTCTATCCTTCAAACAGAGAAGCAGGGGCAGATGATCCGATTTCCTTTTTTCCAAATGTGTCACAAAAGCACCCGGGTAGATGTCTTTCCATCATTGGGTTGAGAAGAACCTATCGAGGCATTCTTGAATATTTTCATCATCACCTCTGTTATTGCTCCAAGTGAATTGGTGTCCCATAAAGCCAAGGTCAGAAAGGTTGCACACATCAGCAACCCTCCTTAAAATTGCATCCTCATTGTAATTGAAAGTCGCACCCCCTTTCTTTCCGAAGACCAAAGCATCAAATTATAATCGCCACCAACAAACCAAGGGACCTCAGCATCCTTATAGAGGTTTTCGATTAAGTTGCCAGTCAAATGTTTTTAATCATCATTAGGGTACCCATAGCAGCTAGTAAATCTCCACTCTTTGCCATCATCATTCACTAAGGCATCAATATGATGAGTAGAAAAAGATTGGATGCTCACCTTTCACTCATCATTCTACATAAGAGCAATGCCCCCACTTCTTTTTCTACCTCCTCCTTCACACCCAACAGCTAACATGCTAATGAATTTCATTTTTTTTTCCATTTTGTCACTACTCATCTTTGTTTCTTGTAAGGACAATAAATTGGGAATTTCCGTGATCATAATCCGCCTAAGCGCATTGACTGCCCGAGGACTCCCCAAACCTCACAGTTCCACGATAAGATGTGCTTCATTGACCACCAAGAGCCCAAGTTGTGGGGCTCGCCACATTTTCATTATTTTATTGATCATGACCAGTCACCTCAAAAACTCTCTTCTTGATGCATAGAGAATCATCCATCTGCAAAGGATCATCATCCCCTCTTTCTTCATTTCTGTCTTTCCTTATAGTGCCTGCCAAGGATGATGGAGGGTCTGTGGAAACAGGGGAATTACAAATGATTCTCTTGAATTTTTTCTGTTTTGTGCTATTCTGCTTTAAATCCATAGAGCATCCATCATGAACCTGAACATCCATATCAGAAAGGTGTTCCATGGTGGCCTGAGGTTCAACCTCTGACAATTTCAAGACATCACACTGATTATCCTCCAAATTCGTAGGAATAATCATACTACTTCCCATCACATTGCATTCTCCTATCTTCTGGTTTTTTGAAATGGCACAGTTGGTAAGTTTTTCCATGACATCTCCCATCTTTTCATTCAGTTCATTAGTGTAGACACCCAAATGTGTCTTCCCAAAACCAAACCCAGTGATGAATACCTTTCACGTCATTTGATTATCGAATGAAGCGAAAGTGTGAAAATTCTAGTGATGAGGATGTTTTTATTAAAATATCTCTTCTTTCTGTTTTTGAAAATATTTCTTTTCTTACCTTATTTATGAAAAACGTGCATTATAGTTTAGGTTGGTCCACGATAAGGGTCCAATAATAGTGTAGTTGGATAAGATTTGAAAAGACCCTTTCCAACGATATATTATAAGCCCAATTCCGATGAATAATGAGGAAGTTATGACCAAAATACTAACTTGGGCCCGATTTGGTTTTTATATACGGCTCAATGATCTAGAGGAGGGCCTATTATTTATTATCATTCCTAAAGCTATTAGGATTTATTATAGTCTTCTAGAATATTCTAGAAGGTTCTCTTAAATCCTAATGGAGTTAGGATTGATAATTATGTTTCAAAGAATTTGAAAATGAATAAAACTACTCCATTTTAGAATCCTTGTTTTGTATGAAGTGGAATATATTCAGATTTTATTTTCGTGCCTCATAATATTTATCCAAATTTATATGGTTAGATAGATCTTGAAATTATCTTTCCAATGATATATTATAATATTAATTCCGAACTATAACGAAAAAGATATGAATGAGACAAAACTCTATCCAAAACTGACACTATCCTACTATTTCGGCCATATCTTTTTATTTAAAAAGGATTTTAATCTGATTTTAATTGGATTGAAAAGAAGACTTCAAGATCTTTCCAACTACATATTATATTCCTTATTTGAAGTTACAAAAGATATGATAAAAACAAAATTCGCAAAAACTGCTATCCATCGAGTTTTATTTCGATTCGAATTCGGATTCTTTTTCTTATTCTTCGACTCTCTTTTTTTTCTCTATACATAGAGGTCATATCTCCCTTTTTTCAAACACCAGCTCTCATCAAAAAATTCTTGATTCCCTCTCTCTTTCTATACTAACCCTTTTACAAACAAAATTCCTCATACAAGATCTAGAAACACCTAGCCAAGTTCGAAGTTGCCTTCGCCCTAGACGTGAAAGGTTTTAATTTCTGAGGGTTTGGTCCCAAATCTCTCTTTCAATTATTTAATTTAATTATTTATTTTATATTTTTCTTGAAGTTACTAACGCGTGTATTTTGTTATTAGAAAGAGGTACGAGGCATCCAAGTAAGTGATTTAACTGCTTTATTGATATTATGATATAGAAATCATGTCTAGGTTGTTATTTTAATTCCTGGTATCATGTTAGGATGCTTGGTGTTTTGAATGACAACAATGATTCCTAGTATCATGTTTAGGGTAATAGTTATAAT